TCTTTCTTTCTTTCTTTCTTTCTTTCTTTCTTTCTTTCTTTCTTTCTCTTTCTTTCTTTCTTTTTCTTTCTTTCCTTCCTTCCTTCCTTCCCTTCCTTCCTTCCTCTTTGTTTTTTGTTTTGTTTCTTTCTTTCTTTCCTTCCTTCCTTTCCTTCCTTCCTTCCTTTCCTTCCTTCCTTCCTTCCTTCCTTCCTTCCTTCCTTCTCTTCCTTCCTTCCTTCCCTTCCTTCCTTCCCTCTTTTTTGTTTTGTTTCTCTCTTCCTTCCTTCCTTTCCTTCTTTCTTTCCTTCCTTTCCTTTTCCCTTCCTTCCTTCTTCCTTCCTCTTTGTTTTTTGTTTTGTTTCTCTTTCTTCCTTTCCTTTCCTTTCCTTTCCTTTCCTTTCCTTCCCTTCCCTTCCCTTCCCTTCCCTTCCTTCCTTTCCTTCCTCCCTTCCTTCCTCTTTGTTTTTGTTTTGTTTCGCTCCTTCCTTCCTTCCTTCCTTCCTTCCTTCCTTCCTCTGTTTCTTTGTTTCTTTCTTTGTTTCTCCTTCCTTCCTTCCTTCCTTCCTTCCTTCCTTCCTTCCTTCCTTCCTTCCTTCCTTCCTTCCTTCCTCTTTGTTTCTTTGTTTCTCTGTCTCTTTCTTTCTTTCCTTCTTTCCTCCATCCCTCCCTCCCTTCCTCCCCAGATCATACTTTCTAGAAAACCTAAGTCAGACGCCACCGTGTCAGCTCTCCTCCTCCATTCACGGGAAGAGGGGATGAAATAGAGACCAAGGAACGAATGTAAAATGAGCATAAGGTGCAATTCGGCGGTGAGACAAAGTAAAGCTCCCACACTAAAACGAGCAAAACCAAATCCACAGGTACAGAATAGGTGTCACCTGGCTCGACAGCAGTGGCTTGTTGCCCAACCACTTAAGTATGAGCCAGATGGTACTTAAATATGAGTGACTCTCGGTAGTTGATGAGGATATAAAAAAGGAAAACTGTACTCAACAGTAACGCTGTGAAAAGATTACGCAGAATCTAAGTTGGTATTGTTTTCTATTATTGATAAGTTGCTTTTGCAGTGGTGCAGGGGCCTAGACTTGGAGCTCCTGTTTCACAATCAGGAGGCTGTGAGTTCGATCCCAGGTAGAGGCAGATATTTCGGTCTGTCTGGGCCCTCTTGAGAATATATCTGCTGAACAAAACTCTGCACTGGCGACAGGAAGGGCATCCAGCCATTAAAACGCTCCACTAGCTCCATTCAGCCGAGACTCTACCCTGCAAGGGATTATGGGGGTCATGAAATGATGATTGATAAGTTGCTTTTGTTTGGAGCCTGTCAGCCGGGAACAACCCAAACTGCACGCCTAGAATTCACACTAGCTACTTTATTGTTCTCTGCCTATAATGCAAGAATCTCTCCAAATGGGCAACTTTTGCCTGGGGAAGAGTAGGGGTGCTGTCCAGACAGTACATAGGTCATTGGGAATTGAGATAGTTAAGTTAGAATTGGGAGCTGTCCCCTTAAGGGAATGCCTCATGGTAAATGTAGTTAATGCATCCTGGCAAATGTAGTTCATGTCATGTGATCCTATCTGTAATCCTGATTGGTCACTGAATTGACCCATGGTTGGGTTGGGGGAGTTTTCCTCTACTCCTGCTTGAAGTCAACTGTGCAAAGAATGGACATTAGATGGAACTCAACGTAACTGTGAGTTATACCTTGAGGACGCCTTGTGAGCCAATAAAGAAACTTTGTATGGAAGCCTTTTGTAGAGTTGCCTGTCCTGTCTTTATATTGCAGCCGGGAAGAAGAAAGATCTTGGTCTACTTGTGTTTATGTAGCAAATCCAGGCTAATTTTCCTCTTTAGCCCTTTTCCCGGTCAGGATGGTCCACTCGCCAACAGAGCTATCAATTTGTTTCGAAAACGAACTTTCATTTAAAGTGTGTTTGCGTCATAACGCGCCGGGAATGAAAGCAACTTCCAATTTCCTGCTGGCTTCCCCAGTGACTTTGCCCGTGGGACGCTGGGAGAGTGTTGGAAAACACAGTCGTGTGATGGAAGGGCCACTGCAGTAGCCGGAACTTTGCAAATAAAAGTGGCAAAAGGGATGTGAACATTGTGAAAATTTAAATTCATAGCAGTAAGGGGCCCAAGTATTTTATGTACAATTTAAGTTAGTGGATTTGAAGTAGTTTGATTCAAAAATGGGCTCCTGAGCAATGCAGTGTTTGGGTTAACTGGAGGGGGACAAACAGACAGGAGAGTGTATGCATAGACTGGTCCTCGACTTACAGCCATTTATTTAGGGACTGTTCAAAATTACAACACTGAAAAATGTGATTTATGACCATTTCTCACACTTATGACTGTTACAGCGTCCCTGTCGTCAGGTGATCAAGATTTGGATGTGTGGCAACTGACTTGTATTTATGACGTGTCCTGGGGTCACGTGACATCCCCTTTTGCGAACTTCTTACAAGCAAAGTCAAGTGGGAAGCCCGATTCACTTAACAACTGGGTGACTAGCTTAACAACTTCAGTGATTCACTTAACAACTGAGGCAAGATATGTCATCAGATGGGGCAAAATTCACTTAACAATGTCTCACTTAACAACAGAAACCTCAGGCTCAAATTGTGATTGTAAGTCAAGGACTACTTGGGATGAATCCCAGATATTTTATGCCTTCTTAGTGGAGTTAGTGGGTTTAGGTACCTTTATGTATACCCTAAGGGGGACGCGGTGGCTCAGTGGCTGAGACGCTGAGCTTGTCGATCAGAAAGATCGGCAGTTCAGCGGTTTGAATCCCCAGCGCCACGTAATGGAGTGAGCTCCCGTTCCTTGTCCCGGCTTCTGCCAACCTAGCAGTTGGAAAGCAAGTAAAATGCAAGTAGAAAAACAGGGACCACTTTGGTGGGAAGGGAACATCGTTCCATGTGCCACATTCGTAAACGATTAGTACATAGGTACAAGGGAAGGTAAAGGTTCCCCTCACACATACATGCTAGTTGTTCCCGGCTCTAGGGGACGGTGCTCACCTCCATTACAAAGCCGAAGAAGAGCCAGCGCTATTCAAAGACGTCTCCGTGGTCATGTGGCTGGCAGGTTGGCAGAAGCCGGGACCAGTAATGGGAGCTCGCTCCGTTATGCAGCGCTAGGGATTCGAACCGCCGAACTGCCGACCTTTCTAATTGACAAGCTTAGTGTCTTAGCCATTGAGCCACTGCATCCCTATATAAGGCATACATAAAATATATCTTATGTTCAAATACATTTTGTATACCTTATGTATACTTTAAATTAGTGGATTTGAAATAGCTTGATTCAAAAATTGGTCCGTTATAATGCACTGACCTTGGAGGGTACAAGCAGGCAAGAGAGTGTATAATATACATGTTTGTGCGTGTGTTTTTTGCCAATTGAACTCCGATTTTTTTTCCCCCTCTTTTCCTTCTCTCCTTCCCCAGATGATCAAAACCCACAACCTCGCCCCCAACCGAAATTACATTTTTGGCTACCACCCACATGGCATCATGTCCCTGGGTGCCTTCTGCAATTTTAGCACCGAGGCCACAGGTGTGAGCCAGATCTTCCCCGGGATACGTCCGTACGTCACCACACTTACAGGAAACTTCAGGTGGCCTATTCTGAGGGACTACTTGATGACCGGGGGTAAGGAGGAAATACCCCTTTCGTGTTGTCTAGCGATGCAGTTTGTCTTGGGAGGAAAGCCCGTTGAATGTCTCCAGATAGATAGATAGATAGATAGATAGATAGATAGATAGATAGATTCTTAAGTTTTTGCGGGTACTTACATGTATGGTATTCAGCTTTGTTTGGGTATTTTCCCGCGTCATTATAGTTGTGCTTTTAAAGTTGTAGCAACGTTTCGGCAGAATCTCATCTGCCATCATCAGGCTTCTGTATTGTATTCATCTGTGATGGCAGATGAAATTCTGCCGAATTAAGCTTTAAGATTTGTGGACTTCAACTCCCAGAATTCCTCCTCCAGCTAAGATATAGAGATAGATAGATAGATAGATAGATAGATAGATAGATAGAGATGGAGATAGAAGATAGATATTGTAGATTAGGGGTCTTCAAACTTGGCAACTTTAAGACTTGTGGACTTCAACTCCCAGAATTCCTCCTCCAATCATGTTACCTTAGGAAGTCACTAAATGAATTGGTTGTAAGTCGAGGACTGCTTGCATTTCCTTTTTCTTCCCTCTAAAGATCCTTTTTCTCTCTTAACGTCCAGGTCTCTGCCCTGTGAACCGCAACACCATAGACTACCTCCTGTCTCAAAATGGCACTGGCAACGCGGTTGTCATCGTGGTGGGAGGCGCTGCGGAGTCCTTGAATTGTGCCCCGGGGAAAAACTGTGTGACTCTGAAGCACCGGAAGGGGTTTGTGAAGCTGGCGTTAAGACATGGGTAAGGAGAACGAAGGGCCCCCATTTGTCTCCCCGGCTGGCAATGGTGGCAGGGCCTTCCTTGTAGGCATGAAAGGCGGATGGGTGACTTTGGGCCAATCACCAGGAGAC